ACAAAAACTTTCATACAAAAATATCGAGGCTGTAATAGTTTTCAAATGAGAAGCGATTATATTTCACCAATAACAGGGCTGAGATTTCGCGCGCTCAAGCACGTCGAAATAATAAGTAATAAAGGTGCCACACGCCGTATAGAATAGTGGACACCTTCATGGTAATAATTGATCGAAACTTTGACAGATTAAGTTGAAATATGTCATTTTTACTTGAATCATATTTAAGATGTCTTACAACTATTATTCGTATAAAAAATATACTAATGCAATGCGTAGAGAAGCGACAAAACATATGACAATGTTATTGTAAATTTATACAATGATCATAATATCGTAAAAAAAGTGATATTCATAGGAGCACCTTTATCACTTGTCATTTCGACGTGCTTGAGCGCGCGAAATCTCAGCCCTGTTATTGGTGAAATATAATCGCTTCCCGTTTGAAATCTATTATAGCCTTGACATTTTTGTATGAAAGTTTTCGTTTCAAAATGTTCTAAAGAATCTGCCATTAAAATAACATCCGATAGTTTCGGGACACCCTGTATTTGTATGTATGTGTGTATGCGCGTACGCGTAATAGGTTTTCATTTTCGTTATCGTGTATTGCGAGACCTTACGAAGAAAAGAAAAAAAGAGATAAGTCGTTATGAAATAGAGAGGGAATAAGATTAGTATAGGTAACGTGCGTCTTTATTTTATTTCTCAAGAATTACTTCCCGCAACATAACTTTTGCCATACATGGTTGAATTTGGCGTAACATAAGCTTTAATAAAACTTGAAATTTTTTTTTAAATATTAAAAAAACAATGAGTGGTGAGGGTGTTTTGAAAAATATTATCAGTTTTTTAAATCCAGATACGCCATTGTAAAGTACATAAAATATGCAGCCATAAAACTTTTGTTCAAACATTTTTTTCATATTTCTTTTAATTTCGATTATATTCGCTTCAAAATGTAAAAACCAATTTTTTATAGGGAGTTATTTTCACCCCTAAAACCATTTTTTAGCACCAAAAAATCGTTCCATTATTAGAGTCTACTAATCTATAATTATGCATAATTTCAAATTTTTTTTAATTTTCGCGTTGCCGAAGTATTAGGTTGCTTCTCTCTCTGATGAAGTGAATTTAAATATACACCAAATTTTAGAAACAAATTCATAAAAGTACGGTTTTAACTCGGAAGCCAAATTCAGTACATCATCTCATTGTTAAAAGTATCAAATTATCTATATTTTTTATAAATGAATAACGTACCTATGTTATCTTCCTTTAATTTGTACTCCTTATAATCACTCAAGTCAGGCTCTTTTCCCTGTTTTACGGCGTTATATTGCTCCATAAATTTCTTCAACTCGTCCGGCGGTAGAAAATCGCCAATATGATGTTTGCCTTCCGCTTGCGCTGTCAATTCCTCAGCCCACATTTGCGTCGCTTCCATCTCAGCGGACCTCAATTTATGCTCCCATGTACCACCTTCCGTCTCTTCGTCACTGTCGTATTCGTATTTATGTTTTCCTTGTGCCTCCAAATGTTTCACTTCTTCTCTTTTCCTTAAGAGATTTTGGTATAAAATATTTATCTGAAACGCATACATAAGCAAAAATTATTTAAGGAGAAATCGACGCTAAATTTATACACGCAAAGTGGAGTATATAAAGTATTAAATAATAGGAAATAAATATTAAATAATAGGGGCATATAAAGTATTAAATAATAAGCATATAAAGTATTAAATAATAGGAAGAATAATCGGAAGAAATGTATTATTAGGAAAAGTGTTAGACAAATGTAAGAATTCGAAAGAAATATAAGATAGTAATATTGTTAGAACACATAAAATAGTAATATAACTATTATTAATTAAACGACCTTGGTTTTTTATATACGTATCTTCGTACCAATCTTCTTCGTATCAAATACGAGTGCGGGAGGCGCAACGATATTATTTGACAATGAAATGTTTTTTCAAGATAATTTCAAATTTAATTTTGCATTTTTCAAATTTAATTTTGCAAATCATATCACTTTTTTAATATAAATAGTTTTTTCCTGTCACTGCATATAAAAGTATTAAAGCAAGATTACCGAAAAGTGAATATTTTGCGAGATTTATACAGGGTGTTCGGAAAGTACCGGGACGCCCGAATATCAGGAAAAATATAAGTTTTACAAAAAAA